TAATCTAATATTTATTTCAGTTCAATCTAGATGTGAGGTTAAACTTTCTTCAATTTTCCACCACTCTACCAAAGGAAACAGTGCCAATTTAACTTATTACTAAAACAGGCCTGATCTAGAAGATTCTGACCCTTCCCAGACCAAGACAGTTGTACTGCCAGTACCTTCTCACACCTTTATGCTCAGAAACAAGCACTTATTTCCTGTCCCCTAGCATAATATCTAAGTAATCACTGCACGACCAATATGAATCTAAAATTCTCATTGTCTATCTCTGCAGGCCCTAAAATGACATCATCTTTATTCTCAAAATAAGGCTAACTATGCTACCTGGTATTAAATAAAACTGGACTGAGTTCACTATGCCCAATTTGAAAATGCTTTCTAATTATCAATGACATTCACCCCACCCCAGAGTTAGCTTTTTTAATTTCTCCGTGTATCATCTTCACATCTTTTCTTGCCTCATCCTGAATTCACTTTCAATATCTTTAAATTTTGTCTCACATTGCTCCCAGCATGGCCCTCATGACAGTGCCAGCTAACAGTGATGGTGATATATCACTGACATGCACCAAGGTTGGCTATTTGACTTCATAAACTCTGTGACTTCACAAACTTCATAAACCCAGTGATCTTCAGATCAAACTGAGCAACTCATTCTAAATATATGCTTATTAAGGCAATCCATTGGCAATGCCTTATACAGTAGTGTTATGTTTAATAGATCAATCATTCTATTTATTTCCCCTTACTCTAATTCAAAATTACACATAGCTAATGCTCCCATATTAATCCAGAGCAATAATACAATGTATTTCTATTCTGCACCTAGAAAAAACAAATTACCTTGCAATTCATTGGTGACTTATTTGTACTTTACTAAAACATATCCTTTGCTTGTATAATAAATGCCAAAGTTTTATTGTATGCATTACTTCCAGAAAAAAAAATGAATTTTTGTTGAGAATTAAAAGATACTAAGAAGTTAACAGTTGTGAAAAGTAAAACACAATGTCACTGTCCACACCCAATGATTTGGATCAAGCTAGAAGATGTTCTAGTCAAATAGTTAAAATGTTAATCATAATGTCTGAAAGCCAAACAAAACTAAAATTATTAACTAATTTTTTGTTAATATAATGCTAATATAGTTTTTTCATTTCAGCTTTATATTCTTACAGCTGGGATGCATAGATCAGTTCAAATCCCTGAGCTGTACTGAATCAGAATCTCAGAAACTATCTTCTAGGACATACACCATCTTAAAGTTCACAGGTGATTTTTTTTTCAAGCTATACTTTGATAACTGCCTTTCATGCTCTTTTTTCTCCTCTCTCAAGCTGAGAAAGTTTTTCAATCTGGGAAACATACTTTAACAAAAATATTATAAAATTATGAAGAAAAAACAATTTTAAAAGTGAATGTCTCAGTTAAGAAAAGAAATTACATAAAATAATGGACAATAAATATTGTAGTTTTATATCATCTTCTGAAATCTCTTTCAGGGATTGACAGAAAGCTTACCTAGAAATGCTGTCTATTAATGTCCCAACCACTCTTTTTCCATTTGAATACTCTTTAACTCTTAGTGCCTATTGACATTAACTGGATTCCATGTGAAGGAAAGCTCTAAACTTAAGCTTATTAGTATCACATTGAATTTACCTGAAAATACAACATATATATATATATGTTGTTTACTTACAAGTCATTACTATCTTTGGCAATCAGTCCCAGTTCTAATAGTGAAGTGATGATCCTAAACCCTATTCCTGCTGATTTTGATCACTGTCTTTTTCTTTCTGCCCAAAATTTTACAATGACTTTTTATCTCAGGCATTATTGGAAAGACGAGAGGCTCTCCTTTCCTAGCACAACAAACAGAAGCATGACCTTTGATCATAGGCTAATCAAAAAGATCTGCATCCCAGATATCTTTTCTGTCCATTCTAAAAGATCCTTCATCCATGATACAACTATGGGGACATCATGCTGTGAGTTCATCCTGATGGCAATGTCCTCTTCAGTCTCAGGTGAGGAGGGCTCTCTACTGCCTTTGGTTTCCTTGGCCTGCAGCCATTCATACCAAAGCTGATGAGTCTCAGTTCAGACCAAATTCACAACATTGCTCTCCATTAATAATGTTGAAGATTGGGAAACATGCAAAAGATGCAATTTTCCTGGCTCTAACGTGCAAATTTTAAAGAATGGCTTCCGATTCTAACCATACTCTGGGCATATGCTCGTTGGACAAAGAGGGTGGGGCCGAACTGTGAAAATCCTTAAAGGTGTGAAACACACTTTTACAGGTATACAAACCTGTTTCTCACCACCACTACCCCACCCCTGCAACCTATTGGGAATCTTATATTAGTTCTATAATTATCTTAACTATCGCCTTTATTTTTCAGAGGAAACCATAGTCCCTAGCACTAATTTCCTCACTTCCTTTTTCTATTTTTTATTTAAAACAGCACTCCTTCTTTATTGTTCCATATTTTATTTTATCGAAATGAATCCTGTGAATATTGAATGGCTAATAATAGATATTCTAAAAATATTTGATAACTACAAATAATCCATTTTAAATGTCGTGAGAATCTCGGAAATATTCTGTAGTAGGATGAAAAATATAAGACCCCAAAAGATATCCACGTCCTTATCCATTAGACCTGTGAAAGTTAACCTAAATGAGAAAAAGGATACTTGTGGGTGTGATTAAAGATCTTAAAATGGGGGAGTTATCCTGAAACATCTGAGGGGATCTGAATGTAATAATAAGATTCCTTATAATAGGAATGCAGAGGTAAAGTTTATACACACACAAGAGTAGCAGGCAATGTGACCATAAGCTTAAAAATACTAACAGTACTCGAAGTTGTAAAGTGAATGGATTTTGCCCAGTAGCTCCAAAGGGAGAAGGGCCTTTCTGACATTCTGACATTCGATGATACTGACTTAGATTTGTGGCCTCCAGAAATGTGAAAAGATAAATTTCTCTTGTACTGAACCCTAGCTTTGTGGTAATTTCTTATATTGGCAATAAAGACAGATGCACATTCTTTTTGCTCATTAAAAATATTTTTTATGGTGCCGGGTGTGGTGGCACATGCCTGTAATCCCAGTACTCAGGAGGCTGAGGCAGGGGGATCGCTGTGAGTTCGAGACTAGCCGGGGCTACACAGTGAGTTCCAGGTCAGTCTCAACTACATAGTGAGACCCTGTCTCAAAAAAATGAAACAAAA